TAGGGCAGTCCCCAGAAAACTCTCCTCATTCCTCCAAACATAGTATTTTGGTATCTTGGTTGTCCCCACCACATCAAACAGGGAGGTGTTTATCCAGACAGCAGTCCAAGAACCAGACCACTGAACAATTTCAATGTGACTTCTGGAAGTTTCCCCTCCAGCACTCCCTTTTGTCCCCGGTGGCTCTCAAAGCACAAACAGGGCCTCACGCTTCACATCGCACGTACCGCAACACGTCCAGCCTGTGCCCCCCTCCCTCCCTCGCTGCTCACCGGCATTCATACGTGAATTTTGACTGGGAGCGCTATCAATTGCACGTGCAAGGACAGAAGCGGCACCGGGGAAGGGCTCTGCTGAGCTCCGAGGAGTTGGACAGCCTCTCACGAGCCCACAAATGCATTCCTCTGGAGACAGAGGCCCGAAGGTCCTGCAGCAATCCCAGCGTTAGAGCACGACCATTTACCTGTTCAAGCACTAACTGCGCCCCAGCTGAGTTTCCTGTGCACGTTTGCCAGGAGACTTTGTCAAAGAAAGGGAGAAAGAAGGGCAGGGACAGTTGTTCATCTTTTTTGAACACTAAATAGAAAACATCCCCCATCTAACTGAGACAGAGAGAAGTACTTCCGCTTCTCTTACCCAAACAGTTGAGAGCCCCAGCAGGGATCCCAATGCGCTTTCCCTTGATACGGGGCGATCTAGCCTGCTTGCAGAGCAACAAGTCTGTGGAATTTTGTGCACCCCGAAAAATATTAACTAGGGCACCCAGCCTGGCTGTGGGAACAGCACAGCTGTAAAAACCCAACTGGAAAACCCTGAGCCAAATCCTGGTGCTCCCTGCACAGGGCTCTGAGCGGGGGCTCCCTCGGCAGTGCAGGACAGGGGAGTGCCAGGGCCCTTTCCCCGGGACAGCCACGGCTTGCATGCCCTGGGGCCTCGGTGGTGGCCCCGCCATGGAGACTGAAGTTCCACGGCTCTCCCAGCCACAGGGGAGAAGCTGCACTGACAGGTTTCCATGCTTCCGTCTGCTGCCATGGCTGCTCAGTGCCCCCCGTAGAGCCCACGGCTGCGTATGCCCATCTTCCCCTGTATCTAATAGAGACTGCACATCAGAGGCAGTGGTAGGTGGGGAGATAAGGGGGAGAAGCTTTAAACATTGCCAGGTCAGCGCAACAGGAGGTAAGCAAGTACAGAGGCAGCAGGAACTACTGAAAGTTTTTGATATACTCCCAGGTGGACTCCCCAATGCCTGTAAATGTTTCAAAGGGGGATCCCCTTTCTGCGGGCATGGAAATGTTTCAAAGGAGCCCCAATCAGTGCAATGTTTCAAAGACCTCTACTCTCTAAAAATTCCACCTTGAACC